CTGTAACTTATATCTAATTCCTCTCTTACTCAATATTACACCTCTTCAGCACACTAACTTATGTTTGAAATGTGATATGAACATTAAAACCACTCGAACTAAATATAATACTTTCTGAAGTGGTAATCGATACCAAACAATTTTGCCTCTTCTTGACACCTATATTTCGAACTTCCTGGAATAATCCAAATTTGTACACAAATCAATTTAATCAATGGGATGACTAAAGCTTTTGCTGCAATCTGACATGCACCAATATTAATTCAACGAAATAAATTCAAATCCAACTTAATTGTGATGATAGTTGTTGAAGAATTGATCTTTAAACTTGTACCATTTCTTCTTGCTATTCAATTGGCTGTTAGCACTGCTTTACATGCACGAAATTGTTGGCATTAAAACGAGTAGAAATGTCCATAATAAGTAAAGTAAAGAAGTAAATTAATTATCAGACGAAATAATTTTACTTTCGACAAAAATTCAAGATTTTCAAGCGTTAAAACTAGCAAAAATTTAAGATCAACTTCAAAATGTTCATATGAAATAATAAAAAATGCAGAATAGAAATTGAAATTAGACTAAAGCAACAAATGGTTATTAAAGCTTTGCAAGTCCAGTTCACTAAAGAACAGTTTATTTTTTCACACAGTTTTCCGGATTTAGCCAAGTGTATGATTGGAAATTTCACTAATGCAATTTTCTAATTTCTTCCGATATTGTTAACCAAATTAAATTTTTTCCCCCTTCTCTTCAATTCAATTCTGCTGCACACAAAATAGCAATTGAATTGATATATTTAAGACATAGAAATGAATTTTGATTGTACTGAAAGAATTTCATTTTGTTCCATTTCCATATTCGAAAGTACTCATTTGCTCAACGATTGAACGATTGATTTAAATGAATCAAACGAGTTCACATAATTTCTTTGACGAGTAAACTTGGTTTGCTTAATTATTGAACAGATTATCGCTACAGGGCAAATTTGAATGTCATTTACAGGAGTGAATAATTTGAACAAATCGATGTTCTATAAATAAATTATTCAGACATTGTTTACTTTTAATGACAAAAAAATTTTCACATTAAGTGTCATTAGTAAAAAAAAAAATGAAAAAAAGCAAAAAATTAGTGAAAAAATTCTTTCTTTAAAATTAAAAGTTTTTTTAATGAGCAAAATTGAAACTTTGCCTTTTTTTTTGCAAAATTAAAGAAAGAATAGGGAAAAAATGAAAAAGAAAAAAGCGTTTTTTGTTCATTTTATTTTGCCTTCGATTCGTCGCTCTCATATTCTACTTCTATGATTGATGATATTACTTTCTCTTCTATTTTGTAAGAATTACCAAAAGGGACTTTCGGTCGACTCTTTTGGGATTCTAGAAATTTTTGTGATGAAACGAAATGGGAAATTACGAGTGAAAAGCTTCAGTGCAGATTGTGCGGAATACCGTCCGGTAGGTGTCCGTTTTTTCTTCATATTCCTAATATATCAGTACAATTTTGCATACTATTGATCGTATTATCATTCAGATTGAAAATTCGAAAATTCGATGTAAAAAACAATTTTTGGATTATTAACGATACCATATTCGTTTTAATTTTAACAGGTTTAAAATTGTAGTTGATAATATGTTACTTTGTTAGTTTAATCCGACATTACCTGTCATTAAATCCAAATTTAAATGATTCTCTAATTGTGAATAAAATTTATCTTTAAAAGAGTAAATAAGTAATAAATTTTATTTTTCAAAACTGCCAATTTACAGATCAATTTAAATTTCTTTATGAAATAGAACTTAATGCAAAAACCATAAATTTTTGAGAAGTTCCGGAAACGTTTTTCATTGTATCGTCGTTTTTTTTTTTTTTTTTTCTTTTTACTTGCAAACAGGTTCGTTGTGAATGTTTAATAACTTTCACATATAACAAAAAATATGTTTAGAGGGAGAGAGAGAGAAAGAAAGATAGTGTGATTTCCTGAATTGATGAACAATTCGCTGTATTGTAAATTGGCATAGAGATGGAAATGTATTTGTGTGTGCATTTTCCGCCTGGGCGTGCTGGTTATATCTATTCAGTTGAAATCAAATAATTCAGGTTGAATTGAATTTAATAAAGTTTAGTTGTGCTCTTTACCAGACATATATTATTTGTTGTTAGGAATTTGGGATGAACGGAACAAAATTAATAAATTTGCACTTTATGTGATATGGAAAGCGCAAACGTATGAAAGATTTGTAATGTTACCTGTGTTTTTACCTGTGACTTCTACCTGAAGTATTAAACAACATAAAGAATTCATGTTCCACCTTTGATTCCGCACAAAATTCAGTAATATGTCAACAATAGTGACACGACATATACCTAAGATATTTATATATATGTATGGTATTTATCACTGATACTTGTGGAACTGTTAAATATGATTTATTCATCATATCTAATAGTTGAATGGATTATTTTTATTAATATTAGTTAATTTTAAATCAATAGAACTTATTTTTTGAGTACTTTTCTGCTTTTATCTTCAAAGTTATATCTTGAAAGTCTTATTTTCTACAGTTTGTACAAATATCAGAATATTTCCCAATAAATGCAGTATTTTCATGTCTTCTGTTGAAGTTTTTGCACTTTTCCTTTTTTTTTTTTGAATGAATATATGTTACGTACAACAATTGTGACAATTGTGCTGCCTATATGAAATTGTAATAATTCGTTGACATTTCGTTGTATTATTAAAATAATTGAAAATATCAACTTAAAATAGATACAAAGTAGGAATTTTCCTGTATATAAATTCATTGGATGTTTCATATTCATATTAAAACTAAAGAGAATTGAAATTTAGGACGCAAAATAATATGGTAATTCATTATTTTGGTTTCCACAAATGCTTGATGTGTTAATCCAAATTGAATAGCTATTGTTGACTAATATTCTTTTCATAAAATTGAAATTGAAAATGTCGTGCAAAATGGTTAAAAATAATTGACCAAACAATTGAAATTATATGAGCTATTTTGAAGAAAGTATCGATTTCAAATAGTCTAAAAATAATTCTATTACGTTTTCTCTGTAAAATTTCACTTAAAAAGAGATTGAATATTCAAGTATGAGTGGAATGAATGTTCTATATTGAATGTATTGCATTAAAAAGAAAGTACAAAGGTAAACGATACATCTAAATACAACAATTTATTGACTGATTGATTGATTGAATGGTTGATTGATTAATTGATTGATCACTAAAATATTAGCAAGCAAACAAATAAATAAATGTGTATATTATATATTTTGCTATTCAGTAGTTGCGAGGTAGATAACCTTCAATCATTATTTCTTCATTATTAAAATAATTTGAAAATGAATACTGTAATAGTAAGTTTGATGGTATAATTATACAGTAGCAAGTTTGATGGTATAATTATACAGTAGTAAGTCTCATGATGTAATTAATTATACAGTAGTAAGTCTGGTGGTATAATTAATTAAACAGTAGTAAGTTTTCCATATTATAAGTTAGTTCTCTCTTTTCTTGTATTAATATTTAAATGGTATGAAAATAGAGTCATTAGTTGTTAGTAATATTAGAATAAAAGTGATTATTGTTAATGTTCCGCTTTTCACTACAAATACTATTATTGTTTTTTCGCTTTTTTTCTCTCTGTCTTTCCCTTTTTTCATTTTTTCCTTGTCACACTTGTTAACAATATTACTAACTTAGTAATAACTCTAGTATTGAATACGGTATGATAAGATGAATCTGTTTTCTTTCCTTCTCTATCTTTCAAATATTATTATCATTATCAATATCAAAAGTTCAATATTTTTACATATATATAAAGCATAGGTAGATAATATAAAAAGGTATATATACCTTTTTGTTCCTGAAAATGTGTATGTCTTTGTATGTGTGTGTGTGTGTGTGTGTGGTATGTTCATACGAAATCTTATAAAACAGTTACACCTTACCTCAGTAACCAGTTTTGCTTTTTTTTTCAAGTATCTTTCCTCTTGGGGCAAAAGAAAGAAAAGACGGATAGAACAGTGATATTAACCGGAGGTGGGCGAAGCAGGAACATTTCTATTTTCAAACTTTTCAATTTGTCTTCAAGGCCTATCTCTTCAAGTATTGAATTTTAAGTCAAAAAGAACTTTCAATTTGCGTTTTTCATCATTTATAAATTTCGTTTTGTTAAAATTTATAGGCAGCAAATTTCTTTTTCAAGAAAGGCCTTCTGCTTACTGTTGTTTATTTTTTTTTTCTTTTTATATGTTATGTCGAAATTGAAATTGAAGTGAAATTGAAACTGAGTATTATTTCTTGATCTGTCCCAACCGGTAGGTATAATTCATACATCTAAACCGAGTTATTTCTGCTTAATACAGTTACACTAATATGGATGGAAAATTAAAAATTGACTACTCTTGAATAAGTCACTGAAAAAAAAAAAAAAATATTTCTGATGACGTGAAGAGTGACCGTGTAATAAAAAATGAAATTAAGTATATTTATATCTGTTGAATGATCTTCAAGATCTATCTCTTCAAGCAGTATTGAATTTTAACTCAATTTTAACAACAGAGAGTATGCTTCTAATCAAAAATAAAAAAAAGAATTTATTGGATGGAAGAGTTTATCATCAAAGATAAGAAAAAACATTGAATTAAAGAGTAAACTTTGAGGAAGAAAGAAGATAAAGAACTTGAAAACATGGAAAAAAAAGATAAATATTCAAATTTGAACACTATTTAACAATAAAGTCTTTTCTTTTTTCATAAAAATTAAAAAAAATTGTGTACCATTTGTTGAATAATATAATCACTTTATAAGATATTAAAATTGAAATGAAAAGTCTGACATATTATTATTTTGTCGTTCAATTTAAAATTTATATAATTTACAAAATTTATATGACATCATACTTCTATAGGATTGTACTGATTTGTAATTGGAATTACAGATTGATAAGAGGAATAAATTGATAGTATCATTTCAGAATCGTTATCCTTCTATGGATCTCGATCGAAGGTATGAATACTGCAATGCATTTCATATCGAATATTACGACGAATATGGTTAATCATTTTTCTTTCTTTTCACACTTTTTTTTTTTTTTGATAAATATAATTTCATTTTATGTAGAAAAGTAAACAAATCTATTTTTAAAATTAGGAAAAAAAGAAATATATTAGCTGAAATGTCTTTCGATTTATTTTTTTCCAATAAATTTAACAATCCAAGGATTAAACGATTATTTGATTGAATGCATTACACATTGTTTGTGACACGTGTAACTCTTCAATGATGAATTTACGAAATCTCTGATAGGTTCTAATTTTAATCATTAAAAAAAATATTTTAATTCTGTTAGTTATTCGTTTAGCTTTAATAATTATTATTTGTAAGTGTAATAATATTAGTATCTTGATTATGATCCTGCCCTGATTATAATTTCAGTAATTGTTTTACTAATTTTTAATGATTATGGTAATCCTAGCAGTAGTGAACATTTCATTATTTATTATCTTTAACCTTCCCATATTTTCCTATTAAATAAAATTTTTTCAATTTGTTTGATTAAAATTATTCATTTATCAGTACTTTTCACTCATTATAATATAAAAAAATTATTAACGAAGCTAAAAAGAAGGAAATATATTTGTAAAATATATTCGAATGTCATCATTTTCAAATTATTTGAACTCATTTTCAGTTGTTTTTTTTTTTTTTTTTTTTTGTACATATTACTACTGACTGAAAAGAAAAAGGTTTTTAAAAAGATAATTAATGTGTGGTCAAATTTTTTTCTATGATTATTCACAAAAATTCTTTTTCATTTTAAAAGAGTTTTCGTTGAGTATTCAAGTATAAATTTCAAATTTCTCTCATTTTCTTTTCTATTTTTTTTATAGAACACTGAACTTGACATTCAGTAATCATTAAGAAATACGTTTCATAATTAAATCCGGACCTAATTTACGGAAACATGAATAAAATTCGGTTATAAGAATTCTTATTTAAAATAACCCTTTCTAACAACAAGTAGTGATATGGAAATCCCAGCAACAAGTTAAGAGGAAAAAAAAATTCTGAATACGACAATGCTTAATAATTAATCATCCATACATATCCTAGAAATGAAATATTCATTTTTGATGTATTACTATATTTTACTTTTTCAGGACGTACCATTGGAGCTCCGGAAAAGGTACAGCCGTTTCCAGGACAAATACTTCGTGACTGTTTAGATCATCGTTTACGCCAACGTGGCCTAGTACCATCTACAGTGCTATTTTTTGTGGAAAATTCCCGAACACCACTTCCGGACAATTGCGATGCCAATTTTCTTAGCGGCCAGCGGATTGTTGCACGAGGTAATTATTTTATGCTTTATATGATTAGAAAATAAAATATTTGCTTCATTGCTAATAAGTTTACTTTTAACTTGACTAACCTAACCTAAAATAATCAATTAATACATGAACATTTTTTCTAGTTGTTTCGAGCAATCATTTAGAATGAAATTTGTTGTTGCAAATAAATTCGAACAAAAAATAGCATTTTTGGCTTAAAATTTAACCAATAAATGTTACAAATATCATAATTATTAGATTTCCTATTGAAGGATAAACTTAATAAAAATTTGTATAATTTTAGAATTTCAATTTTTTCGATTTCGATAGTAAATTAAAGCTATGCGTTATCATTATCTTCGAGGTCATTCACAAAATGAAATTGTATTATAGTATTAACAACCGGATGTTACCTGACGAATAGCAATAGCAGTAGAAGTAGTGGTAGTAATGAGAGGAATGGAGGATACCTTCAGCATTACACTTATCGGAGGTTCAAGGGAATTTCTTCCGCCCCATCAGAACCGTTCTTCCTTTCCTTATTAGTTCTTCTCTGCCATTACTGACATTTCACACAATTATTATTCGATAAATTTACTTCATAGTACCATATCCCAGTGTTAGTTATTATTCATATTTCTAGAATATCAAATGATTATCTAACATATTTGTTAGCTTTGAGTTTGAATTAGAAATTTTCATTTCTATGCTTTCATTATATTTCTCATTGCTATTTAGTTTTTGAATTTTTATAGTTTTTATTTTGTGAAGCAATCAATGATCATAAAAACTTTCATATTATAACTTTTTTTTTAGCTTGCTTTCTAAGATAGATGATGAATTTGTTGACTGGACGAAGCAGTCATAAAAATAGAAGCATTGGTCTTAAATTCTAGATTTAAAAATTTGCTATCATCTAGGAAGACTACACTTTCAATAAGTTGACATCAAATATAGCAGAGTACTGAGATGTCCTAATGGATCTTCTGGTGAAGAAAAATAAATGGCGCTGAAAGGAAATAAGGAAAAAAAACAGTTGAAAGAAATTAAATTGACAATAATTTATCATAATTATGAGATGGATAAAATGATGAATGATACTGCAATGATAGCATTCCGATACGATATGTTGCGTAAAAACTTGGCGCAATCAGTCATTAAGTCATTTAATTAAAAGTTCAGGAACTGATTTGAATTTTGAAAGTGAAATCAAAATGATCATTTCGTTTTATTTTTTCTTAAATCATTTTTTTTTTCTTTTTGCCATTCTAAAATTACTTATGAAAATGAATTGATTTGATATATTTCCACAAATGCTACTATCAAATGATAATTTATTTTTCCAAACAAACACACAAATTGTTTTTAAATATATCTTTAGTTTACTATCAAACGCTAATTTTTTTTTTATCTTTCCAACAAACAGAAATTGTTTTTTTTTAATGTATTTTTAGTTTTAATATAGCTTTTTCCCCTTTCACTTTGAAATTAAAGTTTACAGATTAATTTGAAACATAACATAAAAAATTTCGTAAAATCATTACTTTCCATTCTTTTGTTTATGAAAAAAAATCTCATTAAAATGAATTAATTTAATTGAAAGAGTTTTTAAACTGCTTTTCATATCACAAAAAATTCATGATAGTAATAAATAATTTATCGCTATGTTTTCCACTCGCAAAAGTTTGTTTTCTCTCAAATTATTTTTCGTTGTTATCACTGCTACATACGTTATCATTATTATCATTCTGATTAGATGAAATAAGCTAAATTTCACTTGTTATATTCTGACTTTTCTATAATTATCTCTTATTTACTGATTGAAAATGAAGCAATAAAATTTTTTTTTTGATAAATTAGTCCCATTTTCTATCGTAAAATGTGAAAATTTTTTAAATTTCTATTTTTTTTCTTACAATCTTTCGATTCATAGGATTTATTGATTAATTGATATGCGAGATTGTATGGATAAACTTTAGAGACTTTAGTTTGTAAAACATTTGTTAAAGATAACAATGATAAGACCAAATCATGGGCTTATGAAAAATTGAAAGTCTGGAAGAAATTTCAGTAAATATTGGTATTTAATTTTTATTCGCAACCTTAAGTAGTTTTTTTTTTTTTTTATTTTCATCAGATTATTTTAATGAATACAAATTTTGCATTGGTTTTTACTTTGCTTTATATTTTTTGAATTTAAAAAAAAAAAAAAAATTAACAGTAAGAAGAATTTTTTATAATGAACAACAAAGAAGTATTAGAAAAGGTTTATTTTCAATTACATTTGCGCGATGTGCTATTGGACGCGAAATTATGCGCAATGAGTGTAAAAGTTCTAAAAGTTTCAGACAGATTGCGCGCAGTCTTAATAACTTAGTTAATCATTATAATATTATCACTACTACATTGCTGTTTTTGTAACTTGAAGAAATTATTGATATAATGAAATAATTAAACAAAAATATATACTTGAAAAATTTTTAAAGATAAGTTAATTGTGATAATGACACTTGCCCATGAATGTATTAAGTAACGAGGAATCATTACTGCTTTATATTAATGTCAGTGCTGGGATTCAAATATGATATTAAATGTTAGCTTGACTTATTGCTATGATCATTTTATCTTCTACCCATCATTTCAATCTTTCTTGGAATGAAATTGTTTTTTTTTTTTTTCTTCATTTCTCATTAAATAACAAAATATTGCTGGCGGTTATAAAATGACATTTTTCATTAAACGAATGACAATAGCAAAAAATGAAATGAGGAATCATTTTCAGAAAATGTGAAATGTATTAATAAATATAAGTTTGTGAAGGATTTTTTTCAATTAATACTTACTTCATGTTGAAGTAAAACTATGACACTTAAACCCTTATCAAAGTTATTAGTAAACTCCAAGTAATAGCTATGGCAAATTCAGCTAGTCACCTTTTCTTGCAATCTTTCACGTTTACTATTTTCTTAAACATTTAATTATTCTACTTTTAAATTCGAGATATTAATATTTTTATACTAAAATCTTGAAGCTGAGAAATATCTCTGAGTTTAACTTAACTGCTATTTGTATTTAGGTTTAACAGTGTGAATTTCACGTTGTTTTACTTTCAGTACGTAAAGGGATGACACGATTTGGACGAAGTCGAACTCAACAATCCTTAGATATTGATATCAGTGATACAAAACCAATCCGAAAAAACAGCGATGATAGTATGTCATCTTGGAGGAATTCGTTGGTAAATTCAAAAATGGTAGCGTTTGATTGTTTATAGTCTTTGAACTTTCAGAAAAAAAACTTTTTCTGAAACATTTCTCACCAACCTTTTTTTTTTTATTATTTTACATCGCCAATTATAATTGTAACAATGTGACAGATTAGTAATTATAATCTGAATCAAATGATTTATGTAAAGTTTTAATGATGAAAGCTAAGTTGAAATGATAAAAGTTAAGTTTATTTTTCGAAAGCAGAACTTTTAACATTTTGCATACCTCATTTTTTATATTTTTGCTTTACTATCTTAAATATAAGCATTTTTCTTTATTCGAATGAAAATTTTTTCTTAGTAATTAAGTTTATTTTATTTTTTTAATTTCTTTATATGACATACTCAATTCTTCCAAACATTTCAATTCTTTGTGATAGATTTTTCCAAAATTTTTGTTAGTCTTATTGATCTCGAAGAAACAAACAAATCACAAATAATATTTAAAGAAAAAAAGGAATTCTTCCCATTCCTATATGCACTTTAATGTTCACATCTTTCTGATTTCCTTTTCATTTTTTATACTAAGTTCTCACTAATTTCTAATCAATTTTTCACTTATTGTTGTAATAATTCTAATTTACTTTTTATTATTTATTTTTATAATAATTTTGATTTCACCAATTATTTAGAGTAAGAGATTTAGGTGCAATTTGAACTTTAACACAAATTCCTCAGTCTCTGATTGCTGGTACCGATGTCATTCATCAATTCTTATTGATATAGTTCGACCGGATTCTACCATTGCATTATTATTATGCCAGAGAACGATTAATTTTTGTCTTTTTTAAATGGCATGAAGTTCAGCTCCGTTTCGTACCTACCACATAACCTTTCTTGTCAACCTTTTTCCACTTCTCATCTTTGTTTTCATCTTTCAAGGTCACACATTCCTCCTTTCTCTCTTTCTTTATCATCTCATTTTTTTAGAGTAACTCTGTTCTCGACTGTCGATAGATCGTCGACGGTTGATACTATTTTCATTTCTTCTTATCGTCACATTTGTTATAAATATAAATGAATGTGAAATGTGGCGGTAATGTTACAACTTTATCATTAGCGACAAATGATAAGATCTCACTGAAATCTCATTGAAATTACTTCATGCAGGTATCTTCCAGAATATTAGAAAACGGATGATAATACATTAGTTAAAGGAACCTTAAGAAAATGGAAATTAACTTTAAATATGAAAAGATCGACAAAACAGATAGGTTGTGCGATTTAATCGAAGTCAAAGACTGCGGTAAATTTGAGAGGGGGAGGAAGGGGGAAGGGGGCATGCCAGAAGCGCGCGAATGATCAATCATAAATGGTTGAAGCTGACGGCTATTATTGAAATGTTTATGAAAATGTTGAAATTTTTACACATATTAATTAATAAAGTTTGTAAAGTTGAATATAAAATTTCAGGAACTGAAAATATTTATTAAATACGAAATTAACTTTCCCACTGTTTATCAGTGCTTTTATATTATGTCACTATTAATTAAGTTATTTCAATGTCACTCTCAAAATTTCTCTTATTTTAATTTCTTCCACATTTCTTTTATATCAATCTGGCAAGTCCCAGAAAAAATTCAAAAAAAAAAAAAAGAAAATGAACCAAACTAAAAATTACGATTGAAGAAAAATAGAACTTCTTAAGAATAATAAGTAATATCTGATTTACAGTACCATTCTCCAAAATATTTGGCCTTTAATTTCACCATTGATAAATTGAATGCATTCTTGCAAACAAATTATTATTAAACTTTTCCTCATTTACCAATAATTTAAATAGAAAGCAAATCTAGATGAATTGCATTTCGTGCATGCAAAAATGATTCACTTACTGAATGTATTTGTTGAGGAATTAAATTAAACAGCAGGTAATTCAATTCTTTTGCATAATAACATTAAGCCTAGTAGTTATACCTTTTTCTAACTGACTGATCGCTTTGAATTTTTCTCTCTTCTTTTCATGACTTCTTTTTAGCTTTTATATTGAAAATATTTTCATCTTTCTTATTTGTTATCTTATCTTTGATATGATAATTTATCAAATTTATACGGTTAGTTTATCAGTCATTTAAATCAAAATTTGTATCAATGAATAATAGCAATTAGAATAACTTATATCAAACATTTATTTTTATTGAAAATGAATGATTTAATAAAACTTAAAAAACTTGTTCTGCTTTGCTTTATTTCTCTTTCATTTTTCTTTAAAAAAAGAAAACATGCGAGTGTCAAAATTCGGAATTAAATAACCAGAAATCGTGATCTCTTTGAAAATATAAAAGTAGAGCAATTATCTAAATTCGTCATTTTTTCTAAGCGATTTTGATGATCGAAAAGAAAAAAAAAATATTTAGAAACCGGTTTTGATTCTTCAAACCGTACACAATAATCAAGCATTTCCTGAATATTTGTAACATTGTCATGTCTATCATTTATTCATAATAAATGATTTCTTTTTTTAAAAAAAAAGAATAAACGTTTAACAATAAAATAAGTTGACTAGAAAATTATTTAGATCATCAAATTAGAAATTAAGCTTAGTGATTCATTCATTTTCATTACCATCCAATTATCCCACATTCTCTTTCTCTCTCTCTACTTCTGTGATTATTGGATGGTTATACAGAATTTTTTCAAAAAACTAAAAACTTGACCATAATTTTAATTTTTATTGAGGATATAATTGTGACTTAATAAATGATTAGTTTGAGGATCTATAATGTTTCTCAGGTAAAACAGTTATACCTTTATTTATTGATAATTAGTCACTGTTAATGAATGACCTCTGTCATTTATCTCTGCCAACATGTTATCATTGTCAACATTAATCACTCTGTTATCACTGTCACCAACATAGCTCTATGCTACACCCTTTTCGTTATTCATACAAATAAATAATGATTGTTAACTTTTGTTAACTTGTTTCAAATAGACTTAACTGTGAAATTTTTAACTCAGTAGCGTTATTTTAATTTAATCATTTTTGCTTCTCCTTTGTCATCCTTAAAATATTGATTTATCACATAGCTGCATGCAACTTAAAAAGTTACTGGGCATCATAAGTTAAAAAATCTAAAAGCCTCAGGCAAATTTTGCTTATAGAAAATATTGAAAATTGCATTTTCATTTTAAATTTTGTTTAGATTTTTTTTCTAGATGTCTCTCAATCTATCCTTATTTTCAATTCATTCTTTTTTAACTTTTTATTTTCCTGTGGGACTTCTGAATCTTTCTTTTTTCTCGTTTTGATATGATTAAGATTCAAAGTGCGCTTACTTTAACATTTTTCTGTTGAAAAGTTGTTAGATCATTAGCACTATTAGCTTTGTCTCCCCATTTCGGGTAAAGTTACTTTTTTTTTTTTCATTTTTTAGCATTTTTAGTATTTTTTTTTTTGCCATTCGGTGAAGTTCCTTTTATATGCAACTAAATTGGAGGAAAAGAATGGAAATTACTTCTACGGTAGCAAACAAAAATTGAATTTCCAATTGAGTTCTTATTTCAGACTACCTTTTGATGTTTTGAACGGAAGGAAAAATCCGTTGGACGTAATTTCTCAATGAAAAACCAAATCTGAAAGAATATATTTATCGCGAATAAAATGAGTAATTTTACAATCTAAATCTTATTTAAAATATTTAGAAATTCTTTAATGCCAATTAATAAAAGGTCATCAAAGTTTCTTAGCTTAAATTTCTTAACTTAGCATTATACATTCAAATGAATGTCATAAATTTGCACCTCCTGTAATAAACTCAAAGACTGAATAAATTAATGTCATAATTTCCATCTTTTTTTTTGATGTTTAATAAATGTTTTTTAAGAAGGATGAAAATGACATTTGCCACTATTAAACTTAAAGCTAATACTTAGACAGATTCTATGACAATCAATTAAATAAATAAAAGTTATCGATTAAAATTAGAATTATATCTATGGTATTGCGCATTTTTTGATATCTTGAACAAAATAAGAATCATTTTCATCCTTGGAATAGGAATGCTTTAGATTTATGGCATTCTTTTTTGAACATTCAATTTTTTTCAGAGATTTCAAAAGTTTAATCTTTCAACAATTATGCTACTGATCTATTGATATCAGTGAATATTTTCTTATCTTTGATAGCTAATCAATTTGAAATTCTTTTTTTTTTTCTTGGAGACAAAAAATCTGTCAAGAAAAACTTATGAAAAGTGAATAAGAAAAAGTTATAAATTGAGAGATTAAAGTAAAGGAATGTAACACTTTTAAATGTTCCATTCATTTATTTCCATTCTTTTCCTCACAATCGATCATGAATTAATGTCATTTAAAGAATTTCACTTTTTCAAGATAAACTAAAATAAACTTTGTAAAATGACGATTTAACAAAAACTGCTTCAAGAAATGAAGTTTGAATTAGTTTTTCTCAATCTCATATTTATCCCTTTAAACGATGACATGAAAGTTGTATGTTCTCATCAGTCATTTATAATTCCTATTAAGCATCATAAATTAGCATCTAATTTTTTTATCCATGCCTTATATCGAAATGTTTATCACTCGTCCTGTCACAGATAAATGAAAAAAATTGCATGGGTGGGACACATAATACTTAATTAATTTTTCACATAAATTAAGTGGAAATCATCTATTTATTACCGTATAACTTTAACTTTAGTGGCAAAAGTTTACCTTTTTTTTCAAGAATCAGCATAAATTAATGAATGCTGTCATACATTCAGTATTTACCTTAAAATTTGAAGAAGTTAAAATTTAGAAAGTTTTTCCCGGATAACGAGAATATGATTAAAAGAATATGAGATCATATGTTACATAATTACATAATGACGTAACTTACGCGCTTCTTTACTTGTCACGTAGTAAGCAATTTATTATCAGTACTTAAATTGTTGCTCTTATCTCAACTTGTGAATCTTGAAACTAAAATTTAATTCGAGAAGAGCATTAGCACGAGTGTTCATTTCTTCGCAATGATATTT